CACCCACACCCACCCACACCCACACCCTCAAGTTATCCAAAAAAAAGAAAAAGATCTTTCTATCAAAAGAGACCAAGCGATACTGATAATATCGCTATCCATTCTTCGTCAATTTTTTCGCGTCATAATTGTAAAAATGAAGAATCTTTGTCAAGTTTCGATATTTCTGGTGGAAAATGTTGTTGAATAACATTCGATGTCTATTGCATGTTTCTATTTATTAACCGTAAAAATAGAGTACTATCAATAATGTTGCCATATGTGCTAACTAGACGCATGAATCGTTACAGTTTAGTAAAACTAAAATACACAAATTAAATCAAGTTTCTGATTGCTTTTATGTTTGTAGAACTACAGCAACAATAACAACAACAAATGCTCCAGGTAAGATTATATTGGATTTCCTAAAACTCTAGCCGTAGTCAGTTGATCTGACAAATTTTTACTAAACATCACTAAATCTTCAAAAATTTAAATAAAAATGGAGCTAAAAGACAATTTATCTAAGAAAGATAAGTGTTTAGGTCAGTATTAAAAGTTCTGCATAAGTTTATTTAATACTCAGATAAAAAGTTTCATATCATATAATCTTGATCAACTGTTTGACTTGAAAAACCTCGAGATTTTTCATATATACTGAAATTGACTCTAATGTTGTTGGTATTGATTTAATCTAGTTGCTGCAGATATAATATATTCAAATTTATTTAGGCTCATCTATAAATTGGCCATTAATTTTGGGCTTGTCATTGTCGGTTTTATTGTTAGCCTTATGCTGTTGTTGCTGTTGTTTGTATTGGTTTTTAGGGTAAGTAGTTTTACTTCGATATCTAATGTAATACAACTAAACTTGCTCATATTCCCTTCTTAAAAAAGCCTAATTCAAGTTCTTTCGAATTGGACGAAAAAAAAAAAGAAATTTATTTCACTGTACGTAATCCAATGTCGAATGTTTTTTTTATAGTACCACGTTATATCAATAGGAGTTTGTCGGATAGAGAACAACTATCGGCAAATTGTAGTAGAATTTCGTTCAGAGGATATCCAACTATTCAAGTATCAAATTACTGTCGGTTGGTTGTCCGTATACTGATAGATTTTTCGGTATGAAACACATGAAATTTTAAGGAAATTAACAAAATTTATTGACAAAGAGATTGATTCACAGTTGCTTTTGTTATTTAACAGGGGTCGTCGTTCTCGACGTCGTCGACGAAAACCAAATGAAGAACAGATCCGTGTATTGACTGCTGAGTCAAGATTTATAACTTCTGAATTAGAGAAAAAAGCTATTGCTAGCAAAGTATTCAAATCAAACACAACAACCAAGGATTATCTCACCTATAATGCAGTGCGCTCTCACCAAAACTTGTGCAATGCTTCTCCATCAGACTTGCGCATAAACTCGTCTGATTCGAATTATTCTGAAGCATTAACCACTATGACAGATGTAGAAGATCATAGAATTTCTTCAACAATTACTGTCAAAAGAATTCATCGTGCTACCATTGAACAATTAAATAATATTACAAAGTCAAATGAAACTGAAAATGTCAATACAATATCAGCAAAACATAATGACAATAGTCGAATCACTCAATATTCAACAGTCACAGTTCTTCGAGTACCAAAATTGAATGAAGTAAACCAGAGCAATTCGATCACACCGCAACAAAAGACTTTGAGTGCATCATCAGTCAAATCATCAAAAATTAATCAAGTCAAAATCATAAAAATACCACGAAATCAATCAGCTATATATCAACGAACTCGAGCAATAAGTATTGATAATATAAGCACTATTGATTTGAACAAACATTTGATTGCATTGCAACCAACAACAAATGCCAAGACTGCTTCACTTTCTACAAATATTAATGCACATAAAAACAATAGAGTAACCGTGACAAAGCTTCTCAGGCAATGTACTAATCTTCAATCTCGTCCTTCATAAATCGATATGATTATTGATCATTTGACTCTTGGAATTCATTTGGTTTAATAGAATTTACTTGAATTAATCTCTAGCACTCATCTATAATATGGCTTTCTCTTATTCATTTATAAATAAAAGAAATCTTCTTAATCTTCTCATATTTTAGAGAGTATGGGTGTGAGTGCAGGTACACAAGGAAAAAAATATTCATACCCACACGCAAGTCAATCACTCTGTTGACGAGTATGACTATCAGAACTCTCAGAAATGTAAAGCTAAATTGAGAATCGACTTTTATTTATATCGTAACCTGTAGGTCTCGAATCAAGTATTTTGACTTCTTTCTCAAATAAACAAACGTCTAAAAGATGACCAAAAAAAAGAGCTTTTTAATGTAACTATTAAAGCTCTATCAGGATCCGCTGGAATCAAGGGTATCGGAAATATTCAACTCTTTCTATTTGCGAAATACCATCATGAAGTGTGTAGAATAACCAAAACAAGATTTCAATGTTTTTTTAAGAAATCTAAAGAGCCAGCTTCTTTGAAAGTCTTACAGGCAGGAAAAATTCTTTCATTTAGGCTAATATATTTAGTATATTATAAGAATTATTTAATACCTTCATGGGTAAAGTTTAGGTTTCAAATTGCAACATGCCAAGCTTTTTATGTACAGTAACATACGGCAAAAAATGAAGAGAAATAGTGATAATTCTAAAAACAAATCCCATGAATATTGATTATTCTGGAGTTTTTTCATATACAGTACACACTATTAGATAGGGTATGTGTTATGTCAAAGAGAACTTATGATCTACAAGAATTCATTCAGGAATATCATATATTGTGAGAATGTGAAGTTGATTTACTATATCGTATGATAAATTGCACTTTTATTGCCATTCAATCCAAATCAAATGAAGAGAAAAACACTTGATTAAGATTGATCAGAGAGGCGAAAAATATCAGTAAATATTGACAGCATTGGGTATTTTTATTTTAACTCACTGTTTCAAAGTAGACACCAACTTTTATCGACCGTTGAAAGAAAATATTAGCATCGAAAAGTGAAAATTGACTTATTACTAACAGTCCTACCTAAGTTTCTAGTTATCTAGTGTATCATGAATCGGTGGGCGAGACGAACTATTGGTTATTTTACTCGCTTCATGATGGTATTTCTCAAACAGAAAGAGTTGAATATTTCCTATACCCTTAATTCAAGCGGATGCTGATAGAGCTTTAATAGTTACATTAAAATTTTTCATCATTAATTGAATGAATATCGATGCTACAAATCGAGTGCTAATTTTGGAAAATCTTTAGATCTATGGAACTCTCTGAGAGGAACATTTTTATCAAAGAAATACTTGAAACTGATCTTTATTTCTTATAAAAACTATGTTATAAAGATCGCAGTCGAATTAGCTGAGTTTGCCTAATTATTTCACATGAGATTTTCGGTATAATTTGTTTCTTCAGAGGTGTGGGTGTAAGTGTGAGTCTAATTCTTTTTTTCACTCACACCAACATACAAGCTGGAAGAAGAGAAAGGATCTTGTTCGCATCGTCTGAAGACGCTGTTCTAATTGTAACAAATTTTTTTGTCTTGATTGTTTTAATGAGAAGCATCATGCTATGCAATAAATGAGTCAATCAATAGCGAAGGCCGAGCAGATGACACATTATGTGTAACCTCCTGCGTAAGAAAAAATGGAAAAGAAAAGTGTTTTTCTCTTAATTTTCTTATTCAAATATAGTGAAACCCACCAGTGGATCCCATCACCGCGAATATGATAAAAGCAAACTTTCTGAGCTGTTGCACGCCGCTCAAAAGAGCTTTCACTAACATTTTAATCGTTGATAAGCGCTTAAATAAGTTCCGAGCACTTATAAGTAACTTGAAATATGCGCTTACAGGTACTTTTAAGCAACAAATATAAACTATTCTAAGCCGTTTACATCTGACGATGGGAAAAATTTTCATATGGAGTAAGAACTAACAAAAGAGGGCCTAAGTGTATCTTATCTCATTCATTTCAGATCATAATATGAGGTCAAAATCCAAATAGAAAATCGAAACATGACCGAAATACATATACACCTCAACGATATCGAAGCAACCGTACACATTAATCTACTTCTTTCTAATAAAGAAATAGATATAAAGGGTATTGTTTCTTTGTAGCGGTACCGTTCTTTTTCTATTCAGAAAGAGAATATTATAGTGAAATTAGACTGATGGTTGATAGTTTTCATACAAATGATCGTGACATTAATATCATCCACTTTTTTCTCTTCGCCACATTCTTGTGAATGGCGTTTCAAAAATACAGTTTAAGAAATAAACGATGAACAGATGGAAAATGATATAGCTATGACCATTGTATTAATGAGACGAAGAACTCATAAATATCTAAAGACACTAATAGTCGAGCATATGAATTTATCTTTGGTGTAAAAAACCGCGATTATAAGCAAAAACATATAGAATTAATAATGTAGTTGGTGAAAAACAAATAGTACAAAAATTGAGTTAGTAGGACCCTTTCGTTTAAAAAGCTGAATGCAGAAAAAGATACTATCCATTATCAGTCTCTATATTCAGCGTGATGAGTTCAATGTCAAAATCAAATAGAAAACGTTTTTCAATCTTTGGCCGTATCTCAGAAAGATATCCCCATAACTGCGCCAGTATCACCTGATTCGAGTATCATGAAATGAAAAACAGCCAAGCCGTCGATTCTCTTTTTGGTCGTTTTTTGATGGATCATTTTGAAAAGCAATGTTCTTTACCTTGTGATCGAGAACATTTGCAACAGGTTTCTTTCTTCCCACAAGTATCGTATTTATTATTAATGCATAAAATGCATGTTTCTTGATATTATCTATAGAAGAAAAAAATATGTACAAAATTATTGCTTTGATTGTTCTGGTTGTTTTCGGAGGCGTAACAGCTCATACAGGTAAAATTAATACTCAATCAAGCCATATCAGACGTGTTTCATTGCCATTGAAACAAGGATATAATGGTATTGATTGGTGTCCAGAATGTGTTGACACATTTAGTAACCTAATCTATTTTGTTCTTGATGGTATTATTGAAGAGGGTATTATAAATACATGTGATGATATATGTGATTATGTTACTGAAAAGTCAGGATCACCTATTTTAACAATTATTTGTTCAGTCGGTTGTGATATTATAGGAATTAACGAATTTATTAAATTAGCTAAAGAAGTTGATCTTGATCCGATTTATTTTTGTGAATCATTAAAACTTTGCCCAAGTAAAAACAAATAACTATTTTATTTTTATTAAATAAAAAGAAAAACTATGTTGTTTTTTCTGCCGCTTTAGTAAATGATAATGGTGATGCTAAATTTAAATCATTTGTTATTTTACCACCACATGGTCCAGTCTACAGTACATTTATTATTGATTTTGTTTATGAATCTATTAATGGAACTGGTACTGGTCAATTGGTTATTAATATTCAAACTGTTGATGGCATTGAACTTTCGACGACTTTTTTGATTGAAGCACTAAAACCAGGTAGATATGCTGAACGCATTGCTGTTGATGCTAGTCCGGATCCAGATTGTGATCCTAGTACCGGTAAGAACAAATTTATTGTTTTAATTGAATAAAAAAAGCTTATATTTTTAATAATAGAACAATGTGAAGAATGGTTTCCGGGCGTATATAATGTTACAGTTATGATTTGTAATGGAGAATGTGGTTCACATCATCCCCATAGTCAGCTTTATGATATGGTTAATGGCTCTTTTCGAATCGATTAATAATAATAAAAAATAACGTGTTTACTCGTTTTTTTTTTGTTAAAAAAATACATTAAAAAGCGTAGTACCTCTTCTGCATAATTATGCTGTGTGTCGATATCTGATTTGATTTGAAATAAACATATTTTAGTTTTATGCATTAAAATAAAAATTATATAGAATAAGAATCGTTTTCGGCTTAAGAAATATTTAATGTCATTCGATTTTCCATCTGTGTTTCTTCAAGTGAATTACAGAATAGAATATTTGGACGATTTTTCGATATAATTATATGCATCTTGCATTAATATATGAGTTGAAACAAAAGCATTAATAAATTAACTATGGAGTATGTCCAGTCAAAGGATAAATTAGTAAAAACTAATATTGTTCGCCAAAGTTTTATTGTAAATTGATTAGAATCAGTATTTTCATAAGTCTTGAAGCACGACAAAATTAGTTTATATGCAGAGAGAGAAGAATGTCTAATCCAAATGCTTTTATATGAGTCTTGAGTAGTCGTGTTAACCTATCAAATCCTCTTGTAATAATACAAACCTAAACAGAGGAGTATGAAGATAAATTTTGTTGTTATTGATCCACTTGACTTTTTTTTATAAAGTACTAAATCTATACTACATTGTATATGTAGCGCAGTAGAAACTAATGATTATTGATCCTGTTTGTTAATTGAGAGCTTATTATTATTTACTAACCTACACATTCAGCCAAACTATATAATCAGTGAAAACGCTACGACTGAGTGGTAACACTGTTTGACACGTGTCCACTAGATACTGTGTTCAAACCTCAGTATCACTAGCCATGGAATGACTCGTTCGATAGTGTATTGATTGCATAGCTAGTTAGTATTAGGATAACAAATTTCGCATAGACGTCACGGTAGGTTAATTTCTGCAGTGTTTACAAACTTAAACAGGATGAGCGTTTGACAGAAGGGGCATAGATACTGCTGTCTGTACAAAGACGAAAGACGAAAGAACCTGACTACGTGTGGATCCAAAATTAGTGGTTGCCCAAACGAACGATAAGCCTATGATAAATATTGTATATTATTATTGTTATTATTATATACTCAGTACCCAGACGAAATATATGGAAATTTTGCATCCAGAATGAAACGCCAAGAACGAAGATTTTCTTTAGAATTATTTAACAATCGAACCATATCTTAAGAAGGTGACTTATGGTATATCAAAAGTGTATGAGAAAAAAGAAATTCGAGTATCAAACAACAGATGACTAGACTGAAGAACGAATGAAAGATCGAATTTTCATATTCACATCCATTTATTTTTATAATCATTTTAGTAAATACGATGTTAAAATAAGCAAAAAAACGTGCCATCACGATAGAAAATATGGCTTTTCTCAAAACAGAAACCAACTATCAAAAATTTAGCCGGAAAAAGTTTTATTTCATGTAGACCTTAAAAATAAAAAAAAAATGTTGGTGATACGTTGTACTGTACGGAAGGTGTTTCAATTTTACCTATTAAAAATCCTGTTCTCAGAAAAGCGATAAAAACATTTTAAAATGGATTCTCCATTCAAGTCCAGAAAAAAAAACATATTAAAATCGCATATTCATAACATATACAAATGGAGTTTTTTAAATATCCATAAACAATGACATAAACTATGAGTGTTTTTCCTATCTACATTCACACCCTTCAACAACAAATGTGATTAAATTTCTATGTTCACAAACTTTTACTTTATTTAAATTTCAGTCCATCTTCAATTGAACATCAAAGATTATCATTTCATATGTCACCTACAACTTTTTTTTCTTCAACTCTGCTGGGATTGAATGGTTTATCTACTTTATTTTGCTGATTTCGTTTATCACCTAGATGGACGTTTCAATAAACTTCGTGTGCTGTATGTTAATATTATTTATATTTGTTACTCGTCTCTAACAATGAGTAATAAGATAGATTATTTTTAATTAATATTTATATATACACCCTTTGAAAGAGGCTTAAAGCTTCAATGTATTTGTGGGAAATAAATAAATGATTAATAAATTAGTTCATTTACATATATTGGATCAAACAACATTCGTTTCGAGTTATGTAACGTGTATCTTTAGTCTTTTTAACGAATTTACTTTGCCATTCATTTTTCTCATTGCACATGCTTCTGTTCTATGTTTAAGCAAATCTTGCACAATCATGATGAAAGTTAATGACATGTTGTCAATAAACACATTGACATAAAGAAAAAAACGTCGAAAGGTATTCATTTTAATAAAACATACTGTTAGAAAGCAAGCAATATTGATGTCTCATAAAGTTTCTTTATCTCTTTTGACATTGCCTGTCGAGCTTGTCTATCGTATTCTGGACAATCTCGATGAATTCACGATTTTATGTTTAGTTTATAATGTGTGTACACGGTTAAAAGAGATCACAGCCGCATATTATCGGTATCAGGTAAACGTTTCTATCATAATCTTAGATTTTGATCGTCTTCAAGATATCATTTAGTTCAGCAAATAATTATTAATGTTATATTACTTGTTGATTTTAGAATAGGGTGTGGGTGTGGTTGTGAATCTGAATGTGTGTCAATCTCGTCTTCGCCCACACTCACAAAGGCGTAAACCTCTGTTTCTTTTCCTTCCTGAGAGGCTAAGAGAAGTGGGACACATCAATTTTGTTGACTACAAAAAATGTCGATAGAATAAAATTTACTCCAACAAATTTTATTTAAGTTTTGGATTTAACAAAACTTAAATAAAATTAATTGAAGTAACTTTTATTCTATCGACATTTTTTAATAAAATTTGTCGACGTCGACCAATTTGAAACTGAAATTTGTCGAATCGACAAATTTACGATCGACATTTTTTGTAGTCGACAAAATTGTAGGCACTCAAGAGAAGTGAGAGCGCCACTGTATTCTCAATCTCTGCTTTTCACACAGACACGCATAACACTCGACTTTGGATATAACAAAATCGGAGACCATGAAGCACAGTATCTTGCCGATGCTTTATCAAACAATACGGTGATAAATTATTTCCTGCATATTTTCCTTATATCTATCATCACTTTTTTCCACAGGTACTTACCACTGCAGATCTTAGTGAAAATCAAATCCACGACGCAGGAGCACAACATCTTGCCAATGCGCTCATAAAAAACACAGTATTACACCATTTACTAGCCATCTTCACCATGTCTATCTTCGTTTTGTCACACGGACACTTACTACACTCGTCCTTAGTGCCAATCAAATCCAAGACCAAGGAGCACAACATCTTGCTAATGCTCTCAGTAACAACACGGTAATACACCACTTACTACTCGTCTTTGTCTTCTAAGTCTTCACTCTTCACTTAGACACTTCAAATATTTAACCTTAGAGGTAATCTAATCGGAGCCAAGGGGGCACTGTATTTGGGCTATGCACTCACAAGTAACACGGTAATGTACCATTTACTACTCCCCTTCATCTTTAGATCTTCATACTTCGCATAGACTCTTACAGCATTCGATCTTTCCAACAACAAAATCAATGACCAAGGGGCACAACATCTTGCTGATGCACTCAAAAACAATACTGTAATACAGAATTTATTACGCATCTTTGCCTGGTAAATCCTCACGTTTTACACAGACACTCACTACCCTCGATCTTCAAATGAATCTAATTGGAGACAAAGGGGCAGAGTATCTTGCCAATGCTCTGACGAAAAACACGGTAATATGCCATTTCCTACTTATCTTTTTCTTGTAAGTCTGTACTTTTCGCACAGACACTCACTTCATTGAACCTTAGCAATAATATAATCCAAGACAAAGCAGTACAAGATCTTGCCAATGCTCTCACACTCAACACCGTAACACGCCATTTATTTCTCATATTCATCTTGTCAATCTCTATTTTTCACACAGGTACTTAACATATTCAAAATTAGCGATAATCTAATCGAAGACCAAGGCGCATGGTACCTTGCCAATGTTCTCACAACGAACACAGTAAAAAACGATCTCATATACATCTTTGTCATCTAAAGCTTCACTTTTCACACAGACACTCAGAACATTGGATCTTAGTGGAAATAAAATTCAAGATCTAGGAGTACAATATCTTGCCATTGCTCTCACAAAGAATACGGTGAGAAACCATTTACTATTAATCTTTGTACTGTCAATGGACTCTTTCACATAGACACTCAACACGTTTGACCTTAGCGGAAATAAAATCCGAAACCAAGGCGCACAGCAGCTTGTCGGTGCTCTCAACAACAACACAGTAATACACCATTTATCACTCCTTATAATCTTGTCGACCTGTATTTTTCGTACAGACACTCAGAACACTAAAAGTTAGAAATAGTGTGATCGAAGATCACGGAGCCCAACATATTGCCGATGCACTTAAAAACAACGCGGTAATACACAATTCATTAGTATTTTTTCGTCTTGTTAATCTTCACTTCTCACACAGACACTGAGCACTCTCGATCTTAGCTGTAACTCGATCGGACACCAAGAAGTGCAACAACTTGCTTTTGCTCTCACAACAAAATCAGTGAGGCACTATTGACTACTCGTCTTCAAGTCGTTAATCTCTCCATGTTACACAGGCACTCATCTCACTAGACCTTAGCGGAAATCGGATCCTTGATCAAGGGGCACAATATCTTGCCAATGGCCTCACAAAAAACACAGTAATACGCCATTGACTACCGCTCTTCGTCTTATCAACCTTCACTTCTCACCAGACACTCGTCACACTCGGCCTTGGACGGAATGGAATCGAACATTCAGGGGCACAATATCTAGCTAATGCACTTGCAAACAACGCGGTAATAAAGCATTTACTACTCATCTTTATCTTGGCACTTTTCACATAGACACTCAACATGCTTGACCTTAGCGGAAATAAAATCCGACAGCAAGGAGCCCAGCATCTTGCTAATGCTCTCATAAACAACACGGTAATACACTATTTGTTACTTATCTTATATCTTGTCAATCTTGACTTTTCACATAGACACTCAAAATACTCGACCTAAGCGGAAATGAAATCGGACACCAAGGAGCACAGCATATTGCTGAAGCTCTCACAAACAACACAGTAGTATATTATTTGCTAGCTGTATTCATGTCGTTAATCTTCCGTTCTCAAACAGGCAGTCACCACACTCGATCTTGGACATAATGGAATTGGACACCTAGGAATACAGCATTTTGTCGATGCTCTCACAAACAATACGGTAGTACATCATTCACTACTGATCTTTGTCTTGTCAATTTCCATTTTCTCATACAGTCACTCAAAATATTCAAACTTAGAGGTAATCGAATCGGAGATCCAGGAGCACAGCATATTGCCGATGTTCTCACAAAGAACCATGTAATACACTGTTTGCTACTCATCCTCGTCTTCTTGATCTTCACTTCCCACACAGACACTAACCATGCTCGACGTTAGCGACAATGGAATCCGAAAACAAGGGGCACAATATCTTTGCAATGCTCTTATAAGCAATATGGTAATATAATATTGTTTACTTTTTTTTCTCTGTTCACTGTGTTCATTATTCTCACAGACACTGGCTGTACTAAACCTCGCTTTTAATGATATTGAAGAGCAAGAACGAAAGCGATTAATGAAAGTTATGAGGGAAGCAAAACGATTGAAAGTGTTTTGGTGACTGCTGGTGATCTCTTTTTGAGACAGTTGCATTCGCATTGTTTGCATAATGCTATGCGTTTATTGAAAAATTCCTTTTTTTTCACTAGCAAAATATACTCGAATTTAGTTCATCAAGGAGTGTTTCTATCGTATAACTTCATTGAATACCAGAGGACTGAGAGTTCGGTGTTCAATGAGACTTTAATTGAAGGAATTTATGCAAAAGCAAATGTGTACGATAGCTCTTGATATGTGTACACGTACTGTGTTTTGGTCCTTAACTATTATCTTGTTGTCAACCAGGACTGTGACATATGGGTCAACATAAAGTGAATCAAGTATACTAAAGCAATAGAAAATTACAGAAGTCAAAAGGAAGTATTGTAAGAATAACAGAAATAAAATAATGGCCAATTCATCCACTGTTCAGAGTGCAGACTATTGATGAAAACGCGCTACATATTTCTCAATTCTCTGCTATAAAAAAAAGACTTGCCATCGTCTGAATATCTGCTTCTCAAATTTTACCTAAAAAGATTCTTTCTGATCGTTCTAAGCTATTAATATTATGAGGATCAATGCCGCAAACAGTAGAATGTCTCACTATGTTCACCGAGTACAATACTAATAAAACAGCATGAATTGACAGCTGAGGGAAATTGAACTACACAAAAAGATAGCTGTAACTAACACATTTATCACTCACTGGCATTGACAAGTTTTGAGTTTCTTTTTGAAAAGTACAGATGATCAAGAGAGATTGAACTAGAAAATTTAATATCCTTGTATTGACTATGAAGGGTACTAAAAACCATTGATGAATATTGATATATACCTGAAATTGACTTTACAGTAACATAAATAAATAAAGCATTGACTAAAAAGAATTTCATGTAGGCCAGTATCACCTTCCGAATCAATCACCCATTAGCGTGCAGATTTCAACTATCAGGAAAGCAGATGCCTTCTCCTTATGACTAATGAAAAGGTAGAAGTCACACTATTCATTATCCTTGACATCTTGAATATAAATTTTCATTTGTGAAAAAAGAAAAAGAACTGTATTACAACTTAATGTAAGTTTTTGTTTTTCCACGATATAAAGTTTAATAATTTTTCTTAACTTTATTTCAAAGTAAATATTTATAAAACATAACGTGTATTTACAAATAATTGAAAATTTATAATTTTACTTTTGTCTTCAAAATTTAAATCTACAACACATGAATAAATAAATAGTAAAATATAATATTTTTTTTTCATGTTAGCCGAAACAAAGATTGCATCAATTGATTAAATGTATTATAATCTGTTCTTGTTCTTACAATTTCTTCCATTATATTCATCAATTTTTGAAAACGTAAAATTTGTGTAATTATAATTTCTATTGAATGTATTGCTTCTCGTTCTCCAAATAAATAATTTAAATAACGCCAAAGTATTATTGTATAAAACTCTTGAATTTTGTATATATCTACTTTATTTATATAATCATCAAATTGATTATTACCAAGTGGTGTAGATAAATTAATACTAAACAAAAGAACAACAAGTGCAAGTTTTAAAATCAATGGATGTTCTATAAAACGATCAAAATATCGACGTGTTCGAGACATTTGACAATGAAAATCTTCATTTATCCATTTTGACATATATATACCAATAAATGGATTTTCTTGAAATTTTTCTATGAGAATATAATGTAAATGAATAATTTTAATAAGATTACATTTAATTAATAAAACTTGATCATCTATATGTAATTGTTTAAATTCAGGTATAGATTTATAAAAATAAATTAATGATTGATGCATAATACTTTCTTCATTAAAAAATTCTATTAAAGATAAAGATAATATGTTTTTATTTAAATAAAAATCATCAACATAATTAACTCCTAATTGATAAGCATTTGTAATATTATTTAATAGAATTTGATCTTTATTAGATAGATTACGATTAAAACCGAACAATGTTTGTGTAAAAATCTAAAAAAAAATAAAAAATTATATCAACAAATATGTAAATTATTATTCAATGATTATTTTATATTTACGGGATTAATAACAAGTTCTTGACTTTTTATCATAAAATGTTTTTTCTTTTGTTGAATTATTGGAAGAGTAACAAGAGATTGTGAAGCATTTGATGAAATATTCGTTTTCTTTTGTTCTTTTACTAATTTAATTAATTGTCTTAATTGTTTTTCTTTTTCAGTACGAATCCAATCTTTACGCATTTTAATATCAAAACATTTTTTTAATCGACAATACGTACATTTACGACGTGTATTAATATTAATATCACATGAACCAGAAAAACGACATTTTAAATCCGGCTAAAATGACAAGTTAATTTTTCATAGAATGTTTTAGAAATTGAGCAAATATCTCAATGGATATATATTAAGTATTTATGTATTGAGACAATTACTCAGCTAAGATTGATTTCAACTAAATAGTTGACTCATATCTATTTTATTGAAATAAATCTTCTCTTTAAATCAAAAAAGTCGAAATGGGAATCTAAGATACACGAGCTTATAATCACCATCACTTATCAATATACATAAATAAAAAAAAATCAATCATCAAGTGACGATACATACGATGAATCATTTCGATAGACGAAAAAATGAAATTATTATAAATTTTCTTGTCTATATACTTTAATAACAAAATCAATGACAAATATCATAAATTTGATCATTAATGAATATATATATTGTACTATTCTAGGCTAACGATTCAATCTTAACTAATAGATTATTACCATATATCGTAATGCATTACGACGAAAAAATGCTTTACATGATTCACAAGTAATTTGATCAAAATTATAACCATGAGCTGGTGCACCACAAACACGACATTCGAGATTCGACAATTGAGATTCTTCTGTTAATAATATTTGTGAGTAGTTTTGATTATTCTATAGAAAAAAAAAAAATAAATAAATATTAAACGAATATAATTTCAAAAATATTTACTTCAGCTGATAATAATATTTCTTTATTTTCATATTCCATTGATATTAAATTATTATCATGTTCATTGTGATAAATAAAATTAAATGCTGAAGAAAATAGATCATCAAAATCAAATGATTGATTGTTTGAGATATTATTCCAATATTCATTATTCGAAATGGTATTCGTCATTGTTGTCATTATCTAAAATATGAAGTTTTGTTTTTGATCATTCACTAAATACTAGAAATAAAAAATACCTTAATATTAATCTTTGAAGAAGTAATATTTTTCAAAATATTGCTTTTTTTTTATATAGATGACCGAAAAGTGCAATATTAGATGTTAAAATAAACGATTAAGTGAAAGCATTAAGTTATTGAAATGAAAAAGAGATGATGTGAATCAGATGTTCGTTATATTCACTCTTTCTTGTTCTGCCATAAAATATACTTGAATCAAGTCTTATATAAAACGAAAATACTCATTTCTTTTTCTTTTTATTGAGTTGTTCGTGGAGATGACACATACTTAATCGATGTTTATTTTCTTCTTTTTTTTTACACTTATAAATAGATGAATTTACTTTGATTTCGAAAGCTATACTAGTAGTGATGAGTCATAAAGTTTTATATTGTTGTAGAGTAATTTTTAACATTGTGTTTCGATGAATGTCTAATGGTGATATTTCATCATCTCTTCTTGCATGCTCCTACACAATGCACATAACTCCTCACTTTAAAGACAGAATTTTGTTTCCAGAGATTAAACCAATTAAAGTATAATGAGAAGCTCTTATACACAAATCTGAATTGAACTGTTTAAATAAATCAAAAAATATTATTAACTGTTTCTCAGGTTGAAATTAGAAATGAATTTGTCGATCTCTACTCAATATATGTTTCACAAAAAAAAAATGTAAGATTAATTTCAATCAAAATTATAAAATTTATTCTTTGATCAATCTGTAGAACATCAAAAGTAAGAAAGCAAGTAAAAAGTAGCCATTGCAAAAATTCATTACGAAGACAGTTTAGTAATATCTATTGATTGATTAGTTACATATATACAAAAACACTTATTTAGATAATAAATGCTGGCTAACTTCATTTTTAATTATTCCGAACCTTCAAAACTATGCCATTTTGCTGGATCTCTTGATAAAAACAAATCTTGCGGATAGTATCGATTCAATCTCGTATTAAAACAAATATTTTTCATTCTTTTGAGATCATCAAATTATGAAATGAAAACTTCTAATGTTTATGTTTAGTCATTAAAGCAAAAGAAAATGAAGTTGATAAATGACTTTATAAATACTGTATTTTTTGCATCGTATTAATTATACATAAATATACAATACTATTGAAGCATGATATAAAGTGCATTGTATATGTTTGCACTTAAACGAACCACAAGCACGTTTTTATTCTTCTTATAAATAATACAAATGTGTCAGATTCGACACACACAAAAAAAGAAATCAATATACAATAAATTGTAGTACAAAAAAAATCTACGTATGGTAATCATAGTTTTACCTTCTGAGTTTATTTTTTTTTTTACAGAACATAATTTCAATAGATGTACATAGAGAAAGAGTAACAAAAGAAAGTCATGCTTTTTTTTTTTGAATTGCATTAAGAAATAGGTAAATTAAATTAAAAAAAATATATAGAACAAAAGGAAAAAGCAAATGTCAGACATTGCATACGAAATGGCAATACATTTTCACCCTGAGTAATATAATAAATTAATTTTTTTTCAAAATATTAAGCTAATTGAAAAAGAAAAACAAAATATATTAGAATTTATTTCTTGATAATATTAACTTGATTCAAAAATCAAAAGAACAAGTTTTATGAGTTCAAATAAATATTCTATCGTTGGTCAAGAATATTTGCAAAGTTATATACAATAGTAGAAACCTACTTTCTAAACTATAGTGATTCGGCAAAAAGCTGTTAGTACAATGCTTGCAGGATTAAAATGTAAAACATGAGGTAGCTGTTTATTGTCAATCACGGGGAAACTTCATGATACATCATATCTTCAAAATCAAAGCATTATGTTGAGAACAGATACCTGACTGACGATAGGAACTCGAGGAATATCTAGAGTGAAGAACCAGCTAAATGTAAGGGCTGACTCTTCAGTATTATGACTTTCTTTTCATACACTACAATTACGTTATTGATATCAATCAAAGATGCTCATGACAATGTTGTTGCGCCGCTATCAGTTAGAATCATCGTGAATTTGATAAATTTGATTTAGCTGTACTAATTTAGCACAAGTGACACAAAACTTTCGAAGAACTTCTTAAAAATCATTACTCCAATGGCAGGTTTCCAGCTTCAATGGACACCTATGATATCAATAGATTAATTTCGATAGCTTCTTAAAAGTAGATCCAATCTTTCACCCTTATACGGCGTGAAAAAGATGTAGATAATGTATATTTATTTAATATACAAAAAATTAACCTTATTTACTACTGTTCGATAAGTGTTTATATTATTTATTAATGTTCGATCGTCGTCATGCAGAATATCATAAAAACGAAAACAACGCATTTTATAAACCTAGGAGGAAGGATAAATATCATGCATAGTATTCAATTATTTGTATTGACTGGATCAGTAATAACTTCTTGACTAATTGATCTTAATGTCGAACATTTTCTCCTTTGTAGACTTATTGGAAGAGTAATAAAAGATTGTTGATAACTTGATAAGTCATTTATTTTCTTTTGTTCTTTTGATAATTTTATTAATTGTCTTAATTCTTTTTCTTGTTTAGTACGAATCCAGTCTTTACGCATTTTAACATCAAAACATTTTTTTAATCGACAATATGCACATTGACGACGTGTATTAATATTAATAATACATGAACCCGAATAATGACATTTTAGCTGAGACTAAAAACAAAAAGTTATCGTTGAAATGTTATTTCATTGTATTTCGAAAAATTTTTGGGTAAAATTAGTCACTTTAGACGTAGTAATTTTCAATCTATTGATATTGAAGTTCAATGGTTTACTTCTACTTGTTTTATAATTAACACAATTAGAAAGATTTGATATTTACCAAGAACTATATTCAACTGTTGGAAGTTCAAAAAGATTCACCCAGATACATTGCTTTTTTAATGTTGTAATCATTATACTCAATATTCAGCCTCAGGCAAGATACATTGTCAAAGATTGAGTGAAACAAATGTGGTCTAAAATATTGTCCGTGAATAACTTTTACGTTTATTAGAGAACTCTAAAAATTTCACTTAAAAAAGCAGGGTTTCTTATGGAGATGTTGATTGGTTAAGAAACTTTCTTATCTCATAACCAAAGGTTAGAACACCAATTATTTTGATCATTCGATATCTTATAGAAGAAAACATCGTTTTCAAACGAAATTTTTACAGCAATCAAATGAGAGTATGATCTATTCATGGGCAAAATTTCAAATCAAAACTACATTATGCGATCTTGTACAAGATCACTTGTCTGACATGAAAAGTTTATTAAAACGATCAGAACTACAAATATATAGGTTATAAGTAACAGTTACATGTATATTTTTTATACAAAATCAATAAATATATAGAAATAATGCTCGCTCAAATATCTGCATCTTATTTAATGATTTGCAATAGAAATATTTCAAAGAGTTAGTTTGATCGACATTCAATGAATTCAATACTTCTATAGTTCAAGTACCTAGGATAGACTTTTCAAAATTTTATGAGTTCTGTATTACTCATTTCACGCTTCTTACCATATTCCGTAATGCATTTCGACGAAAAAATGCTTTACATGATTCACAAGTGATTTGGTTAAAGTTATAACCATATGCTGGTGCACCACAAACACGACATTCTAAATTTGATTTTTTAGATTCTTGTGTTGAATTATTGTTTGATAATGTTTGTTGTTGATAATTATCAATCTAACGAAATGAATTATTAATATTATATTACAAATATTTTATATAGATTTAAATCATTTACTTCAAACAATGAAGATGTGTTGTCTTCAATTATATCATCATGTAACAAAGAATATTGATTACATTGAATTTGAGGATTAAAATCATCAAGTAGCGAAAATAAATCATCAAAATCACATGGTGACATATGATTCCAATATTGATTAGTCGACATCATAACCGTTGTTATCAATATCTAAAATAATAAAATTTTATTTGATGTTCAAAAAAAAGCGTTGTTTTTGTTTCTATATTTGAGTCTATATGTTTTATATTGTTGCATTTGTTATGAAATTATTTGTTTTCGTTTTTGCATGTTTTGATTTTATTCAAATAGTAAAATAAATCAATGTATTTACATTTCGGTTGATTTCATTTGAGAATTTTTGAAATAAAGAAATTGACCGAATTCTACTTGAAGAAAAAAAAAACAGGGAACTTAAGTGTTTGAACTTACGAATAAATCAACGTTGATTTTGTTTCACTTGGTTGTATCGTTATGTGATTATTAGACAGGATACGACACTTGTCGAACCTTTTTATTTTCAGGTTCTTCCAATTAGCAGGTTTTTAATAGAATCGTGTGACAAAACAAGGCATGCATTTTTTTTCTTTTTCTATTCTGTACTCCGCATGAGGCACTTATCGTTGCAGAAAACATGTATGTCGGTTTGTTTATTCGTAATAATTTAAACGTATGAATCATCAAAGAATAAAAATGAAAAGAACAGTAAACCTTGAAAAGTGTGGTGAAGCATTATTAACAACATCATAGAAAATGTCATGCACAGTAAATCAGGTCGATTGTAGTATCTGATCAAAATTCACATTCGCATAGTGACATGATTAGTCATCGAAAAAGACGAGAGATGAAGGTGACTCAGCACTTGAATGGTAAAAAGACGATGATGGATATTAGTTAAATTTAATACGTTATGATCTTGTGTAAAGCGTTAGATAGGATGCACTTCCTTTTATTCATGTTGATATTACGTATATGTAAGTTTTGTTCATTTTGTAAATGTAAGTTTAGTTGTACCAAAATAACACTAACTACGAGGTATCTGAGCAGAAGAACAACGCAAACGAGACATACACACAGAAAAGGAAAGAACATTTATGCATGTACATATGGGCGTGACCAGCGAGTCTGATGCAGCAATACTTTTTTTTTTCAATATAGCTTTAGTCATGTGTCAGAAAAAAGTGATTTTCTTTTGCCGTTTATGGTATATATATAATACTAATGATTTGTTGATTTTTAAAATCGATGTTCTCATAGAAACGGAGCTTCTCAAATATTTCTTTAAAATGATTAATTAAAGATATTCAATGTCAGAATATATCGTTCATATAATTCAATTTCAACTTACATATTTTAAATTACATGAAGTATCAGCAACAGAATTTTATCACAAAAATAGTCAATCAGGAAGTACAGCTAAGGCATGATGTTATATATTTATAGCTAGAATATTTAAATATCATAGGATTAAATCAATCAGAAATAGTACGTATGCTGAGATTTTTAAATAGATTCTCGGTAATCAAAGCTCAAAATAGCATTAGATTTGGAAGTACTTAACACTT